AAAAGTTTCCCGTCGAGCTAATTTTCTGGTATTTTCTGCCAAGTTGACCAAGTTTGCCTGGCTCTTTTCCTTTTTGGAAACAAAAGCAGGATGTTGTAAAATTGGAGAATGTCAAAAGTATCTTTTAAAGTTTTTCAAAATTTATCTCTCATGCGTAGATCCTTAGAAAAAGTGTCGCATAAAGTCCCTGGTCTTTCTGTCAGCGAGACCAAGTCGCCTTGCTCTTTTCTCGTTGGAGGCAGAAGTAGGATGTTTTTAGAGTGGAAGAACCCCAAAAAACTTGCCAAAATTTTATAAATTCAAATGCGAAACACAGACTGTCTTGAAAAGCGTCCACCTGCGTGAAGTTCTCGGTATTTTCTGCCAGCAAAATCAAGTTTGTCCCAGTTTTTCTCTTGCAGGCAAAAGTAGTGTTTTTCAGAGTAGAAAATGTCAAGAATATCATTCAGTGAAGTATTTTTTATGTATCTGTGAAGCGTAGGAGTTCTTAGAAAAAGTGTCCTGTCGCATAAAGTCCCTGATCAATTCTGCTAGCAAGGCCCTGCTTTCTTCTTTCGGAGGAGGCAAAAGTAGGAGGTTCTTAAAGTATAAATCTCAAAATTATCTTTCGGCAAAGTCTCTTAAGCCCAAAAATTACTTTGAAAAAAATTGTCCTGTTAAATAAATTTTCAGCTCTTCTCTGCCAGTAAGACCAAATTCGCCCTTATTTTCTCTTTTAAAGGCAAAGCAGGTAGTTTCTAAAATAGTCAACCCCGAAAGTAACTTTCGGCAAAGTCTTTACAAAATCCATCTGTGAAGCTTAGGAGCTCCTAGAAAAACTATCTTTAAATTCCCAGATCTGCCAGCGAGACCAAGTTTGCCCTATTCTTCTCCTTTTAAAGTCAAAAGAGGAAGTTCTTAGAGTATATTGAGGCTAAAAATTGTTTTTAAAAAGTGTGTGTTGCACAAATTGCCTGGTCTTCTCTGCCAGTAAGACCAAATTTGCCCTGCTCTTTTCTCTTTTAAAAGCAAAAGCAGGTTTTTTCTGGGAAGGCAACCTCAAAAGCATCTTACGGCAAAGTTTTTTTGATATTTATCTGTAAAGCTCAAAAACTTAAAAGTGTCTTGACGCAAAAATTCCTTGATTTGCTAGGGAGACCAATTTGGTCCTGCTCTTTGTATCTTTCGGCCCAGTTTCAAAACCTAGAATTCCAAAAGCCCCTCAGCGTTCTCCTTCCACAACAGCAGGATTCGCTCATTGCTTGCGTACAAAGCACATTTAGTAAAATCTATCTCCCCTCAAAACATAACTGAAGGCTCAGACTGCCGCTAGGAAGGTGCAGGATTACTCGAAAAAATGAGCTTTTCTTGGAATTTCTCTGCCCATCCAGCAAAAGAGGGACAAAACCTTTGAAAACGAAACTCCACTCCACAAATATCATTTTTTATCGGCCCTCGGGACGAAAATCAGTTGAATGCTAAACTATCTCCCCTCAAAACCTGACTGAAGGCTCAGCCTGCCGCTAAGAAGGTTCAGCAATATTCGAAAAAACGAGCTTTTTTGGAATTTCCCTGACAATTCAGCAAAAAAGGGATAAAACCTATGAAAACGAAATTCCACTACACAAGTATCGTTTTTCACCGGCCTTGGAACCAAAATCAATTTTGAATGCTCGCGAACTCTAACTCCCTTCAAAACCTGGCTGAAGGCTCAGTTCGCCGCTAGGAAAGTTGAGCAAAAACGAGTTTTTCGCGAATTTCTCTGAACTTTGAGAAAAAGGGGATGGAAAGTTACGTGATGAGACCGCCGCTAGGAAGGTGCAGGATTACTCAAAGAAAAAATGAGCTTTTTTGGGATTTTCCTGACCATTCAGCAAAAAAGGATAAAACCTATGAAAACGAAACTCCACTCCACAAATATCATTTTTCATCGGCCCTCGGGACCAAAATGAGCTGAATGCAACCCTAACTCCCCTCAAAACCTGACTGAAGGCTCAGTTCGCCGCTAAGAAGGTTCAGCAATATTCGAAAAAACGAGCTTTTTTGGAATTTTCCTGACCATTCAGCAAAAAAGGGATAGAACCTATGAAAACGAAACCCCACTCCACAGATATTATTTTTCATCGGCCCTCGGGACGAAAATCAGTTGAATGCTAAACTTATCACCCCTCAAAACCTGACTGAAGGCTCAGCCTGCCGCTAGGAAGGTGCAGGATTACTCAAAGAAAAACTTTTTTGGAATTTCCCTGACCATTCAGCAAAAAAGGGATAGAACCTATGGAAACGAAACCACACTCCACAGATATTATTTTTAATCGGCCCTCGGGACGAAAATCAGTTGAATGCTAAACTTATCACCCCTCAAAACCTGACTGAAGGCTCAGCCTGCCGCTAGGAAGGTGCAGGATTGATCGAAAAAAATGAGCTTTTTTTGGAATTTCCCTGTCCATTCAGTAAAAAAGGGATGAAACCTTTGAAAACGAATCTCCACTCCACAAATATCATTCTCCGCCGGCCCTCGGGACCAAAATGAGCTGAATGCAACCCTAACTCCCCTCAAAACCTGACTGAAGGCTCAGTTCGCCACTAAGAAGGTTCAGCAATATTCGAAAAACGAGCTTTTTTGGAATTTTCTCGACCATTCAGCAAAAAAGGGATAGAACCTATGAAAACGAAACCCCACTTCACAGATATTATTTTTCATCGGCTCTCGGGACGAAAATCAGTTGAATGCTAAACTATCTTCCCTCAAAACCTGGCTGAAGGCTCAGTTTGCCGCTAGGAAAGTTCAGCGAAAAAACGAGTTCTTCCGAATTTCTCTGAGAGGAAAAGGGGATGGAAAGTTACGTGAAGAAGCCGCCGCTAGGAAGGTTCAGCAATATTCGAAAAAACGAGCTTTTTTGGAATTTTCTCGACCATTCAGCAAAAAAGGGATAGAACCTATGAAAACGAAACCCCACTCCACAAATATCAGTTTTTGTCGGCCCTCGGGACCAAAATGAGTTGAATGCAACCCTAACTCCCCTCAAAACCTGACTGAAGGCTCAGTTCGCCGCTAAGAAGGTTCAGCAATATTCGAAAAAACGAGCTTTTTTGGAATTTTCCTGACCATTCAGCAAAAAAGGGATAGAACCTATGAAAACGAAACCCCACTCCACAGATATTATTTTTCATCGGCCCTCGGGACGAAAATCAGTTGAATGCTAAACTTATCACCCCTCAAAACCTGACTGAAGGCTCAGTTCGCCGCTAAGAAGGTTCAGCAATATTCGAAAAAATGAGCAAAAAAAGGGTATGAAAACGAAACCCCACTCCACAAATATCATTTTTTGTCGGCCCTCGGGACGAAAATCAGTTGAATGCTAAACTATCTCCCCTCAAAACCTGACTGAAGGCTCAGCCTGCCGCTAGGAATGTTCAGTAATATTCGAAAAAACGGTTTTTCGCGTATTTCTCTGACCTTTTAGGGAAAAGGGGATGGAAAGTTACGTGATGGATCTCCAATTACACAAAACGTTGAATCGGGAACACGAACTAAAACTCCCTCGAAAAATTTGCTTGAATGCCCAGTTTATGAAAAACAAAACTATCTTATCAGCAATATTCCAATAGCTGAGTTTTTCGTGGTTACATATGGGATTTGAGCGGAAAAAAGAATGAAACTTTCAAAATGAGGCCCCACTTCAGAAAACGCCGATTTTTGCCGCCCATCCGGGCCAAAATTAATTAAATGCTCAGTCTTCCACTGAGGAAGCCAAATTTCTAGCATAGTTGTTCTGTAGGGCAGAGTTAGTGGGTATTGCTGATATTTGTGCGGAAGGCTCTACTCCACAGAAGGTTAACTTTTTGTGAGGAAATGTCCCATGAAGAGTCAAATAAGAGCCGTGAGCTCCAGTAGGTAACAAAATACTGCTTGCATGCGTGCACGACAGTACAAAATGACACAAGCGATCAATAATCTTCTTCCTACCCCATCGGCGAGAGCCACTGTGACAGAAACACAGCAACAATCTCTCGCCCAGAATAATGACTACCTATATACCGCATATAGATTATCGGTAAGTCTAAATGTAATGTTTTTATGATCAGCCTTCACACATACACCCCCTGTGCAAAATGGTAGCCGCTTAGCTCAATGCTGAAAAATTTCCGCTCCGCGCGGGACCCATAGTGCGAGCGAATCTCTCGCCGGCATAATGGCTACTGGCCTCTCCTCTCGCCATCACTGAGCGCCGTTATATTTTCGCATTCCTTTTTCTGGATTCCTTCAGCAACTGGACCCTCCGTCACGCTGGGGTTAAGGATAGGAGGGACGCAGAAAACTCTGCCGTCGCGCTTGAAAGGATCCAGTGTATATTATAGTAAGGATATTATAGTAAGGATTGCACGTTCTAGAGTTACATTTCTCGGCCACGAAATTTCTGGAGACAGGTACTATCCATGCGACAGGAATATTCAAGCAGTCAAGCGTATCCAAGTTCCAACCACGGCTAAGGAAGTGAAACGATTTCTAGGCATGGTTAACTTTTTTCGCAAGTTCATACAAAATTTCGCGGCGATCGCGGCGCCTCTGTACGAGCTAATCTTATATATAAAGCTGAATGTCTGTTTGTCTGTCTGTCTGTCTGTCTATCTGTCTGTCTGTCTGTGTGTACGTATGTTCCGAATAGAAAATTCCATTTCTGAACAGATCGGGACCAAACTTAGCACACATACACTTCGGGCCCCGGCGGGTGTCATAGGCTACTTTTCGTCATCGATCGATATCGATTTTATCGATTTTTTTGCAAAATATGAGCTACGGGGCTGGGAGTTGGCACAGGGGGGTAATCGAGCATGCTGATCACCCCCGTGGGGGTGATCAGCATGCTCGATTACACCTCTCTGCCAAATTCCAGCCCCCTAGCTCAAATTTTGCAAAAAAGATAAAATCGACATCGATCGATAACGAAAAGTAGCCTGTGACACCCGCCGGGGCCCGAAATGTATGTGTGCCAAGCTTGGTCCGGATCGGTTCAGAAATGGAATTTTCTATTCGGAACATACGGCGGAGCCGGGTAAGCCAGCTAGTAAAAGATAAAGCCAAATTCGAGTGGGGCTCACGACAGCAGCAAGCTTTTGATAGATTACGCAACAAACTGATGACCAAGCCTTGTCTAGCTTTTCCTCAAGAACGCGACTTCATCCTACACACCGACGGCAGTCAGACTGCAGTAGGGGCCGCGCTATTCCAGCAGTCAGCACAGGACGAGAAATCACTGGTAGCGATAGGCTACTATAGTAAGGCGTTATCACAATCGCAACAGAAGTGGAGTCCCACGCACATAGAACTATTCGCCATGGTCAGCGCCCTTCGATTCTTTAAAGCTACGATTTACGGCCTTCTCACCCGTATTTTCTCCGATCACATCCCAGAGGCAGACAAGGCCGACTGGCTTAAATTAGCAGAAGACTGTCATATACGCAAGAACGGTTGCTTATACCATCTAGCTAAGTCCTCACATTGTCCGGACCGGATTACTGAGCAGCTCTTCCAACCGGAGAAACTATGCGAACCGGTTTTCCAGGCAATGCACTCTAGCTCCACAGCGGGCGGACATTTTAACTGGCGAAAAACGTTGACGAAAATATCACGTAAGTACTTTTGGCCACACATGTCTGAGCAGATTTTTGCTCTTTCTAAAACATGTGATCCCTGTCAGCGCAAACGCGCTCAGGCCCGCAATCGCGAAGAGCTACTTCCTGTAGTTTCTACAACCATCTTTGACAAAGTGTATATGGACTTGACTGGACCACTACATACCTCCGAGTCTGGCAATAAGTACGTATTGGCCTTACTAGATCATTTCTCTAAATACGTTATTGTAGCGCCGTTACCTGATTGCAGCGCGACCACGGTTGCACACGCAATTATGTATGAGTGCGTCCTCAAATTTGGAGCTATGACACAGCTAATTTCAGATAATGCTTCATACTTCAAAGGTGAGCTCATGTCAGAAATCGGACGTCTACTGCGTATAGGACGGTACTTCACCACCCCGTATCACCATGAAGGAAACGGAGCCTGTGAGCGTATTTTCGCTACTTTTCATCCAATGCTTCGCACATATATCAACGAAAATCAGTCTGACTGGGATAAGTTTATCCCAGCTTGTGCCTTCATGTATAATACTTCCGTCCATAGCAGCACCAACAACACTCCTTTCTTTTTAGTTTTCGGACGTGACCCTGTGTTCAACATCGACTTGCTCATTCAACACGACATTCAGAGGCATGTTCCCACAGATCAAGATTCTAGCATATACCTAGAGAATTTAGTCGCGACTCTTCATGCAGCATGGCGTGCTGCCGCTAAGTACAACGCAACCCAACGCGCTAAGTTCAAATCACAGTATGATGATACGCATCTCAAACCGTTAGCCGCCAAAGTGGGGGATCGTGTTTACTTGCGGGACTATGCACCCAAGATAGGGCTCTCAGCTAAGCTCGCATACCCATGGTTAGGCCAATTCCGGGTTCTTGAAATTGACCACCCTCATCTTACCATACTCAGTGTCAGCTCACCGCAGTCTAAACCAAAACGGGTACATATGAACCAAGTCAAAAAATGCTACACCTTGTGGACCAGTATTTACCACCCCGTGGCAACCCGAACCGCAATTAGCCTTGAGTAACCATCATGCTCCAGACGCAGATCTTGTGGGGTATCAGCATAATGCATCAAATTATCAGGACTCTGAAACATCTGAAAAGACACCTCCGCATCCGTACAATACTCGTTTCAAATCAAGACGATCTTCAATGTAACCTGTTGGTTATCCTATCAGAATCCATATACAATCATATATCTATGAAGTTTTCCATCGTTTCGCCTACTGGCTGTTCAAGACATGATCTCTTCTCACTGTTGCATTTCTCCACCACAATATTCACATGCATATTCCGTCGATATCGCGATAATTCGTTCGCGTACCTTCACCTTTTGAGTCAAATCACACGTAATTACACTTCTTACTTTCAGATAGGGCTTACTAAAAGCCTCTTCCTGTCCATATGTCTTCTCCTGTCATCACCCCAGTTGCGATTAGACCATATGACGCTTTACTCGAGCAAAAGCAAGATCTTACGTGTAGCTCTATTATGTCGTTTCTCGAGACCGGAAAATTCCCCGATCACATCCCATCGAAGCGGTGATCCGCTCTACTCAAGTATTTCCATTGCAAATACACTTCATCCTCACGGGCATGGTTTCCGAATGCGGAGGGGACAGGGGGCGACTAGTGGAGTTCTGGATCAAGGGAAATCCTCGCACATTCCGTCTTACGATTCATCGAACCCGGCTCAACCTCGTCAGCCGTGAATTATCAACTACAGTAGTAGCTCCTTCGTGGGCACACTCAACATTGGTAAAAGCAGCGACCCGCTGCGGACGAAAAATAGAAACTACCTATTACGTACCTGCGGCCGTCCGCCTCGGCAAGATTGGCATCGCGGCCGAGCCCGCATACGAGATCGTCTCACGCATGGATCTTTTCGGCCCAATTCGAGAAGGCTCGCCGGCGCATCGGATGCTCAACCGGTTATACTCAGCCACGCCGTCTTTGTGTTCAGCACTACCAGAGGACCGCATCCCATCTTTACCGCATGAGGCCCACACCATACGCGTGAACAACTCTCCCATACTACTCTCGCAAGACCAGCAGAGAGCCATCGAGCTCGGATGCTCCAACTATTCGATCGTGGGTATCCAGGCCGCCTACGGCACTGGCAAATCCGTGGTGGGTGCGATCATAGCAGCACGCCTCGCTTTGCTTGACAACCACAAGATAATTGTTACAGCAGCCACCAATACTGCTGTCGCCCAATTCGCGAGAACTCTCCTCTCATTTACAGAGCTCCCGCAGTTAAACGTTGTACGCTTCCTCTCGGACGCTGCAGCCGCAGACGACCGAGATCCGCTTCCAGTGGATCTGGACAACATCCTTAAGAGATCAGGGATCGACTTCGCCGCATCTCTAGAACCTCAAGCCCAAATCACCTGCCGCCTCTTCCGGGAAGGTCGTGAACCCCTGGAGCGCTATCGCGACCGCATCGATGAAGAGTTCACCGAGGAGGAACGCGAAGACTACATTATGGCAGAAAAGGATGTATCTCAAACCATCGCAGATATGATTACATTGATGTTCGTCCACCGACCACCGCATGTAATTTGCATAACGACCGCCTCCCTGCTTAACGCCTCCGGGCCAAAAGGAATCTTCGAAAACTATTTCCCGGATTACGACACAGTCATTTGCGATGAGGCATCACAGGTTCCAGAACTAGCCGCCTCCCTCAGGCTCGGCACATATGCATCGGAGACATGCATCATGCCGCATATTCGCTGCCCACGCGCCAGCACCCCGGCCAGATATGGTGCACGTAGTCTAATGGACCTCCAGGTGAACGCTCGGGCAGTGCCCCTGTCGCATACCTAGTCACGACGTTTCGGGCACATCCTCAATTGAACGACCTTCCTAAAATGTTCGTCTATCAAGGGACACTCCAGAACGGCGCCACTGCAGAGGAACGATCCCTCCTCCTGGACCATATGCAAGTACCGGATGGTATTACCCCATTCCTCTTTTTGAATGTCGAGGGCACTTCTGTAAAGGCACCCAGTCGATCATATTTCAACGCAGCCGAAACCGACCTCTGTCAAACGATCGTAACCCGTCTTTTGAGTCGGCGCATAAGCCCAGCGGCCATCAGCATTCTTTCCTTTTATAAGGAACAGATGCGACGCTTGAGGGCTTCGCACACGAGAACCATATTGAACTGGCGACCGTCGATTCCCAGGGCAGGGAGAAAGAAATCGTCATTCTCCTGACTACGCGAACCCACTTCGATCCCGCATCCGGCGACTTTCTGAAGGACCGAAACCGTATGAATGTGGCCTTAACTCGCTCTAGACAGGGGTTTGTTCGTGCTGGGCCATGTACATTCTCTACGTCCGATCAACTTTTGGAATTTGGTACTCACTTGGGCCGACGAACGGCATGCCGTTATCCCCGCTCCCGAACTCGACATATATCTGCCTTCGGCACAACGGTGAGAATTTTACATTTATTTTAGCCTTCCATAACAATGTTTTTTTCTAGCTTCAAGTCCGAGGACGGACTTATTGGTAAATAGGGGAGGTGTAAGCATTAGTAGCAACTGTAGCCGTAGGAATGTAAACATCAGTAGATACGTGATGATATGCGAGAGATTATAGTCCATCTGTTCAGGGCGTGATCAAGCAAGCCAAGCTGTGAGGAGTCTGGCGAGAGACACGATACCGACCGGCTGCCCGAAGTTTCCCCTCCAAGGCTGATGCCTACCCGACTAGCGAGCTACTTGTGTCACGGATCATCGTTACCATTATGTTCACTTGCCTTATATGTAATTCACTTATTCTTGTTTCATGGTCTTCACGATTAATAGATAAACTGTTAGTGTGTCTGGTGTTCGGGTATTTACCAGCCTGAGCCGCTTCCACGGCGCGTACGTTGAGTGGTAGCAGCGAGTGGTTCCACCGCCACGGAGGGAAGGTAAATCCTTTTTTGTAGTTTTGCCCTGGTGGTTCCGATTCACTGTGGATCCGTAAGTTATTCTTTTCCGACCTTAAACGAACGAATAGGACTGGCCATCTTGTTTGCTCCGAAGGCCGTGAGCTTAAGCGGGCGACATCGCTTAGGGTCATCAGTGAATAGTTCCTCTGCCATAGGGAAGGCGAGTTTCTTCGTAGTTTTGCTTCGCCCTGATGGGCTCCCAGTCGGTATTACGAATTTTTTTGAGAAAAGACAGTTGTGATATTTTTGTTCCTTAGTTAGCCTTTCCTTGATCTAAGCGCGCAGATCTCGTGAAATTCTGGTAACTCAATAGACTTTCAAGCCAAAATGATAAAATACAATTTTCTTTTCTCGAGTAGTTTATTCCCGGAATTCAGCAACTTTCTTTTGCTGGAGTTTCTTTTGGTCAGCAGTTTTATGCTGAATGCAATGTGCACACTTAGTGATGGTTTGTCCGGACCGAGCGGAAATAGAACGCCAAGGAGGTGAGTATTGGTTTGGTACTGTCCCAGCGTATTCAGAAGGTATACGGTGTTCTCCCCGGGTTGAGGTTATGTTTTCTCGCGGATTAAGGACTCGTGTTTTGGCTAGGCGTTCGCCCAAAGTGAATTGGTTTTGTGTTGCCGGCGGCTGGGAAATGTGTATGGTGGAGTCCAGTAGAGTTGCCTCGAGGTAGTTTCGCGGGGCAGCATCCGCTTGAGGGTTGCGAGAAATTTACTCGAAAGGATTACATAACGGCCGTATCAGTTTGGATCCCTTTTTGACACGTGTCACCGATAAGTCGGGTATGTATATATAATATTGCCAATTTAGTCCGAAATCTACAATTCTTTATATTTTATACTCGCCCCATGTTGTTTTTGTATTGTATGTAAGTCAGTAATGTATTACGTGGAATGTTCCTCGTTCATGGTAGTCTTGCAAGCAGAGTATTCAATCAATCAAGCTTCTAGCATGAGCCGGCCTGATCGTAAGCTTGATAACGCATGCCATCTTCACGCTCTTCCTCTGCGCGAGCTGCCGCTGCTACTTTCAGTACGGGTGAGTCATTTTCGTTTTTATTGTTTTCTTGCAATAATATGTTTTATTCCGTTCTCGTCCTTTCTAATAATATTATTAGTGTCATAGTCGCTTCATGCTTTCTCTTATTCTCATTTTCTTCATTTTTCCGCTGAAGAAGGCAAAAATATCCCTCGAATCACATTTTGGACATTTTTGCTGATGCTTAAGTCTTAAAATTACGCGTGTTCGCGTCACTCTCTGAAAGAATTGGTTCATTTCACACCGT